GCCCGTTGCCGAGGAGGCAAGCGCGTCCTCGAAGATGACGACTGACGGACCTTAGCGCGAACCTACCCATGGATCTCCAGGGCTGCGAGCTGCACAGACTCGCAACCAACCCCATTCCACCTTTCACCATTCCCGCTCGCGCGCACTCCTTAGACCTTTCTAATTCTCCCACCGCATGCGCGCATCTCTCCTTTTCTAATCGACCCGCGCCACCTCGCCCACCATGTTCTCTGGGTCCAACTCGTACTTAGGGGGTGGGAACAGTGCCCGACCGGGGCAGCCTCAGTATGGGCAGCAGCAGCAACAGCAGCCCTTCCAGCAGCCCGGCGGCTTCCAGGGCGGACTGGCACCTCAGCTGACGGGCTTCGGAGGAGGGCCAATGCAACCAATGCAACAACAGTTTACTGGCTTCCCGGGCCAGCCGCAGGGCTTCGGACAGCAGCCGCAACCGCAGCAACCGCAGTACACGGGCTTCCCAGGGCAGCAGAGCCAGCAATTCCAGCAGCAGCAGCAGGCTCCCCAGCAAATGCCCTTCCAGACTGGCGCGCCGCCGCCGCCGCCGCAGCAGCAGCAACCGCCTGCCCAACCGCAGCGGCCGCAGCCCACGGGTATGACATCGGCGCAGATGGCTGATTCATTCCGCGGCAACTCTGCGTCTTCCGTGCCACCGCCTGTCCCGGCCAAGAGCAGCAAGATCCCGAGCATAAGGCTTTCCTTCATCACGGCGCAAGACCAGGCCAAGTTCGAGCAACTATTCAAGTCGGCCGTGGGAGACTCCCAGGCTCTGTCTGGCGACCAGGCGCGGGATCTCCTGATGCGCTCCAAGCTATCTGGGGACGCGCTTTCGCACATCTGGTATGTTGCACGAATCGCATACGTGGCCCCATTCTAACAGATGCAGGACCCTTGCGGACACGACCAAGTCTGGCCAGCTCCTCTTCCCCGAATTCGCCCTCGCCATGTACTTGTGCAATCTCAAGCTGACCGGAAAGGATCTGCCCAACTCCCTTCCCGAGCGAGTCAAGAATGAGGTCTCTAGCATGGTGGACATTATTTCATTCGGAGTTGTGGACGAATCGTCGAACCGCCAAACGCCGGCCACCAACGCCCCCAAGTTCAACGAGCCTCCTACAATTCAGCAGCCGCAGCCACAACCTTCAAACAGCCAGTTGCTGGGCTCTTTAGCCCCACAGCCGACTGGATTCGGACAGCAACCAACAGGCATGCAACCACAGCCTACCGGTTTCGGTCAGCAGCCTACGGGTATGCAGCCACAGCCCACTGGCTTCGGGCAGGCTCCAGGCGGTTACAACGGACCACGTCCGCCGATGCCTCCTATGCCCACTGGATTCGGCTCAAATCTCGCACCCAACCAGACCGGCATGGCTCCTCTCAATGCTCAGCCGACGGGCATGCCTGGTCAATGGGGCCTAGCAAACACCCCCGCCACCGGGCTACCAAACATCGAGGCTTTGGCGCAACGAATGATGCCCCAGACGGGCCGAGAGGGCGGCAACCATACGACTGCTGGTTTGACCGGCAACGCGACCATTCCGTGGGCTATTACAAAGGGAGAGAAGAAGCTGTACGATGACACCTTCAAGGCCTGGGACGGCATGACCAAGGGTTACATTAGCGGAGCTCAAGCTCTTGAAATCTTTGGACAGAGTGGATTGCCCAAGCCAGATTTGGAGCGCATATGGACACTTGCCGATTCTGCTGATAGGGGTCGTCTTGATTTGGACCAATTCGCCGTTGCTATGCATTTGATCTACCGTAAGCTCAACGGCTACCCCATTCCAGCCCGTCTCCCCCCGGAGTTGGTCCCCCCTTCCACGCGCAACATCAACGACTCTATTGGTGCAATGAAGAACTTGCTGCGTGGAGATGCCGAGGACAGGAAGAACTCTGGTGCCTTCCTCCAGCCCCAGCGCACTGGCGTCAGCTACCTGAAGTCCCACTCGTTCCGTGCTGGTAGCCCACAAGCTGGTGGCCGAAAGGATGCTACGGTATTCCGTAACAATGACGATAACGTAGGCTACAAGTCGAGCGCTAGACATCGCCTTGGAGGTGGTGGTCGCTCACCTTCACCAGCGCAGCCGGCTTCACCATCCTCTGAGCGGTCTGATGAAATGTCCCTTGACCAGCTCAGGAAGTCTGTCAAAGAGAAGCAGATCTTGTTGGATGCCATGGACACACAAGACGAGAACGCCGCTGACGAAGACGATGCGCTCGATCGTCGAGATCGCCGAGAGGCTGAAGATCTCTATCGCCGCATTCGCAGGGTGCAAGAAGACATTGATGCTCACCCTAAGGCTTCGTTGAGATCAACTGACTCGGATGCGGAGCGTCGTGCCCTGAAGCGCCAACTCCAGACCTTGACTGATCGCCTGCCTGAACTCGCGTCCAACGTGCGCCGGACTGAGCGTGAAATCGCAGACGCCCAGCTCGAACTCTTTAGACTCAGAGACGCCAAAGCGCATCCCGGATCTGCATCCACCATCGTGGGCACTGGACCTGGCGGTGCAGTAACTGAATCGGATCGCTTGAAAGCCCGCGCCAAGGCTATGATGCAAGCACGCTCTGCTGCCTTGACAGGAAGGCCTGCCCCTGCCAGTGACGACACGGGCGCAGCAACTGAGCGCTTGGAGAAGGAGACTTCGCGCATCCGAGCAGAAAGAGAAAACAATGAGCGCATGATCCGCGACGTCGAAGACAGCGTGAATGAATACACAAGGGGTCTGGAGTCGAGCCTGAAAGAAGGAGGACACGACAACACAAGCGAACACGAACGTCGTAGATGGGAGGAGGCTCTGGGCGTTGAAGATGACGTTAAGGACTTCATCTTTGATCTACAGCGCAGCAGTCGCGCTTCGCGTATCCGCAAAGACGAGTAAGTACTATTCGATTAGTATCAAGAGGCATCATGCTAATTCCGTACAGTTCATCTCGCGACAACTACAGGTCTAGATCAGCTGCTCGTGTAGAGGACAACCGACCATCGTCATCACGCTATGAGAGTCCGGCTGGTCGTGTCGAGCCCCCTCCTCGCGCATCAACAACTACGCCTGCTGGCGGCTCGTACTCTGCATACAAGACTCCAGAGGAACGTGCGGCCTTCATCAAACAGCAGGCTGAGCAGCGAATGGCTGAGCGTCTCGCTGCTCTGGGTATTAAAGCTCCAGTAAAGGCTGGTGAGACACCCCAACAACGTGCCGATCGGGAGAAGAAGGAGCGTGAAGAGAAGCTACGCCAGGCTGAAGAAGAGGATGCGCGTCGCGAGGAAGAGCGTCAAAGACGTCTTAACGACGAATCCGCTGCACCACCCGCTCCATCCAAGAGCAGTGGCAAGAAGCCAGCACCCCCACCGCCGGCCTCGCGCAAGAACAAGAACGAGGTTGCGCAGCACGACGTTCAGCAAGCGGAAGCAGAGTCGAAGAAGGCAGATAACGACATGGCTGAGAAGGCTATCCGCGAACAGCAGGAGGCCCAAGAAGCCGAGACGAAGCGCATGGAGTACGTATACCTCGATCTATCTCTTGAAATTACGCTAACAAACGTCAGGGATGAGGAACGCAGACAAGAGGACGAATTGGCCAAGGAGCGAGAGTCTGCTTCAGCCAGACTTCGCGCCTTGGAAGAGCAAGTCCAGCAGGGCAAACTCAAGAAGGCCGAAGAGAAAAAGCGCAGAGCGGCTGCTTCCAAGGACGCCAAGGAGAAGGAGTCCCGACTGGCTGCTCAGCGTGCAGAGATTGAAGCTGCGCGTGAACGCGAACGTCAACTACAGATGCAGCTTGAGGCGCTCGACGATGACGAGTCGTCGGATGATGACGGCCCGCAGAACATCACGCCTCAAGACACCACCCCTACCGCCAGCCAGGAGTTGCCGCGTGACACTGCACCTCCTCAAGCGCCACCAATGCCCCAAATCTCGCACAACACACCACCCTCATCTATCGCCAGCCCGCCTACGTCTTCGGTGACTAGTCCTCACCCTGGCATGGGCGACACCGAAACCAAGAACCCGTTCTTGAAGAAGATGGCCATGTCCAACCAGGAGAACAGCACCGTCTCCACACCTCCGCCCCCACCCAGCAACACGAGCGAGGTTTCCACGAACCCTTTCCACCGTCTGACACAAGAAAATGCCAACAAGGCTGCCATGCCTACGTTCAATGAGCCCGCCGCACCTTCAGCGCGCAGGTTGGGAAGGCAAGACGACGATGACTGGTCCGTCGTTGACTCAGATGACGATTCGTCCGACGACGACGAAGCGCCTACTCAAGGTGGAGCCAAGCAGCTGGCCTCCATGTTGTTCGGTACCATGGCGCCACCGCGCCCTCTCTCCTCCATGGACAACAAGAGCCCACGTGCCGAGAGCCCAGCTGTGACATCGCCTCCAGCAGGCATTCCCCCACCTCCCCCGATGCCCTCCAACGGTGCACCTCCGCCTCCACCTGGCCCGCCGCCACCTCCGGCAGGTGGAGCACCACCGCCACCTCCAATGCCTAGCATGAAGGCTCCTGGTGGAGCGCCAAACCGTGGAGCTTTACTTGGAGAGATCACTGCGGGTAAGGGATTGAGGAAGGTCGAGACCAAGGACAGGAGCACAGCTTCTACTGCTGGTAGGGTTTTGGGTTAATTCGGTAATTCATAGACTTGTAGTATAATCGCGTTTTGTGTACAATTTGAAGTCGAAGTTGGTTTTACGTTGCTAATACATTACATGACGTCCGTGTCGTGATCTCGTACTTTCTGTCGTTCTATACATGTACTAGATAGAATGCGCCGGATAAACATATACGCCATCACCACTTACCCCTCCCGAGGTCTCCAACAACATCACTTCTTAACTTCTGAACTGCGTAACCACAAATCTATTGATCCTACACCTATTTTGTTACAACTCAACGCCCATAAAGCTAATCGCCACCAAGCAAGCCACCTTTCAAATCAAGCTGGCAGGCCCAGATTCCCGGAAAAGACAATCTACAACCGCCATGACGAAGCCCTCCCTCCCATCCAAAATGTGGGCCGCACAAGTCATCTCCTTCAACGAACCCTACAAAGTCCACGAAATCCCCGTTCCATCAGAACTTGCACCGCACGACCTCCTCGTCAAAGTCGCCGTCGCCTCCCTCTGCCACACAGACTTCATGGTCTCTTCAGGGGCAATGGGCACACCACTTCCCTGCACCGGCTCTCACGAAGGCGCAGGCACCGTCGTAGCAACCGGCACGTCTGTAACGCAGTTCGCAGTCGGCGACCGCGTGATGGCCGGGATCTTGTATGACGCCTGCGGTATATGCGCCGAATGCACAGGAGGACCACACGCATCAGCATGTCCGCAGTACTGCCAGAATACTGGTGGTTTCCTTGGTATAACGACCCATGGATTCTTCGCTCAGTACGCGAAGATCGATGCGCGCCAAACGGCCAAGGTACCGAGTAAAGTTTCGTTTCTCACTGCGGCGCCGCTGGCTTGTGCGGGCGTAACTGTGTATCGCGGAATTGTCTTGTCGGCTGTACGGAAAGGGGAGTGGATTGCCATCGTAGGCAGTGGAGGCGGTTTGGGCCATCTTGGAGTGAAGTTTGCAAAAGCCATGGGATTGAATGTTGTTGGGATTGATGCGAGGGATGAGGGGTTGGAACTTACACGGTTGTGCGGTGCGGATGTTACTATTGATGCGAGGACGGGGCTGGAAGAGGTGGTAAAGACCGTGCGTGCTTGCACAGGGAATGAGGGGGTCGAAGCTACCCTGAACGTTAGCGATGCGAAGGAGGCGGCTGCATTGGCTTGTGCGGTTACGAAGATGCATGGGACGATGGTTCAGCTTGCGCAGCCGGATGGTGTGGTTATTCCGTTCCATGAACTTATCTTGAGGGACATTAGGGTCAGGGGGTCGGCGGTTGCGAACCTGGAGGAGGCAAGACATATGTTGGAGTTGGTTGCTAAGCATGAGATTACGGTGGAGACGTGTGCGTTCCAAGGGCTGGCTGGGATTGCGAAGTTGGTGGAGTTGGCGCATGGCGGGACAATGAAGGGGAAGGGTGTAATCATTTTGGATCAGGAGCAGATTGAGAGGGAGGGCAATGTTAGAGCCGCGCTGTAGAGATGTATCAGTTCTTCATAGAAGGGTACGACTGAGAGGGCAAGATGAAAGCGTGCCTACTGGTGAATGAAGATACGGCACTCAAGGGCGCCACATTGTTAAGTCAGTCAGACTCAGACTCAAATGTACATCCATTCTGACATCCCTAGGGACAAAGACTTGGGCTTCTCCCTCTTGAACCTCACCGTCACCTAGCTTCGTTCCCAAGTTTATAACACCATTTCCCTTCTTTCCAGAGCGACTATCTTCCACTTATCTTTCTCCTTGCAATATGTAAGTTTGCTGATTTAGATGTAGGCTGCACGATATGCAGCCATGTCTTGATCCAAGATGCCAGCCAGATGGAGTGAGGAGGCTACGAATATGTGTACTACATTACCGTAAGAAAGCCATCGAAATGCCAGCTCTCTGGACCGACATGTTCCTGTGTAGAAGGCGCCAGGAGACTAGAACCCCCAGAGATCATCAGCAGATTACAACAAGGGATCGACTAAGCTGTTATCAGAGTGGAATTAAGCATTACCCTCCTACCATCCCTCCCAATCCGCACTCTACCACCAACCTACTCCTTCTTCTCAAACAAATAATGACTAACCCCCCACGTATCACCCCCATCCCACCTAAACAACTCCGAACAAGCAAGATAGAAGACCTGCCACCTATTCCACCACGTCAACGCCCCCTCCTCACCATACGTCTCCACAAGGCCCTTCCAAATACTCTCTTTGTTACTCAACATGGTCGTCAACCAATCCTCACACGTCTTGCTGTAGTGCATACCGCTAACCCACCACTGTCTCTTAATCTTGAGGTCGTCTTGGAAGAAGAGAAGGAGGTCGGAAGAAGGCATGGTGCCTCCCGTAAAGAAATGCTCCGTCATCCACCCGCCTTCGAAATCATACGGCGTATCTTTGTGCGCGAAGATGTGCACGAAGAGCTTGCCGCCTGGTTTCAAGGCCCGGCTTACTTTGGCCATCAACAAAGAATAGTTCTTCATGTGTTCGAAGAGCTCGATGGAGAGGACGCGGTCGTAGACTTCGGGGTCGAATTCATGGTCTACCACGTCGCCGGTTACGATCTTGAGGTTCTTGAAGCCTTTAGCGGCGGCGACGGAATCGATGTGTTGTTTCTGTGTGCGCGAGTTGGAGAAACCGGTTATGCGGCTGTTGGGGAAGATTTCGGCGAGGTAGAGGGAGAGGGAGCCCCAGCCGCAACTGTGGATGGGGGTGTTAGTATGGGCACGTGATATTTCATGTCCGTAGTATGCCGTCTTCGAGATCTAGTGGGGAAATGATCGAAATCATGAAGGAGAGGATGAAAAGAACGAAGAGGACGAGAACTCACCCCAGATCCAAAACCGTCATCCCATCCTTCAACCCTGCTCTCTGCACATACGTTTCCATCATCCTGACTTCCGCCTCCCCCAACGTCTCCCCACCTTTCTCATACAAACACGCCGAGTACTTCATCCTTGGGCCCAGCATACCCTTCAGCACACTCGTTCCGACTTCATAATGCTGTTCATTCGCGGTCTTGGTCTCAATGGCAATGGGGCGTTCGCGGAGTAGCTCCACGTATTTCATCTTGGACTCATAGCTCGCTTGGAGAGAGGTATTGGCGATAGACGTGAGGCGGTCAGCGAGTTGCCGCCGGATGCCGACGCGAATGACCGGGTGGGGGAGGTATCCATTGTCGATGAGGGGGTTGATGATGTCGTCCGAGTTGACGAGGTCTGGTGTGTTAGTTTGGGGTGGTGGGATTGTGGTAGTAGGGGAGCTGTACTTGAGATGTAGTTCATGGTGGGCAGCTTCAAATCACGAGAAAGGCAGCTATGCCGTAAGGGTAGGGAAGCTTCTCTGCTATGGAAACGAAGCGACTGCCTTCAAATTCTCCAGGGCTGTGTTTTGAAGCTACGTATCGCGGCTTCCACGGCTTCCAGCCCATGTCGTTCGCGCTTTCAGAAGGTGTCTCGTAGTGCGCTCAATCCGGTTTAGTTTAGGCGTGTGATGACGTAGACGATATCACCGAATAGTGTGCAGAGTCAGCACCTTCAACACAACAATGGTCAGCGAGAAGAGCATGACGCCTGTCGTGGTGCACGTCTATGTAAATGAGAATGCCAAATGCGTAGGATCAGAGTAGCCAATCAGGAGATGCGCACGCCGCGACGGGAGATCAGCGCGCTAAACGGCTGCGGCTGATGCATGCCACGCTATTCGACGCCTTTCATGTTCTCACGTGGGTGCAAGCATGGTTCGATGGGCCTGGTGACGTGGTTGGTGAGCTACGTTGCTTTGATATCAAGGCGGACGTTGGCATGGCTCCCGATCACATGACGCAACTACGTTCCGACCAGACATGAAGGAAGACAAGTATCGAGTCGCAACTCACTGTAATAAACTATCAACATGGCCATATTCCGAAACGCGCAAGATGCGACTAGAAGTGGGATCATTTATGTGCGCCTGTATGTCATCACATCCTCATCTCAACCCGCCTCGCGAAGCTCCGCCGACCTCCTTCCGCATGGTCTCGCTGGCAATATCGCATCCCCTCTCTACTGAGACATATTCCGTACGCATTCATAGTAACCGCGCTCACGACCCCATTCCCTTGTCTCTTCTTCAACGCACCAGATCCGCATCCAAAAACTCTGGCTGTTCATTCAATTCAGCAGCTTTCCCGTCTAGTCCTGCCTTGTTGTGGAGCCATCTCTTATATAGTATAAATCCAATGGCGACCAACAGTAGTATTGCTGCAACGACTGCGGCTGATCCTATGCCTGCTTTGGCGCCTGTACTGAGGCCCGGTTTCGAGGGGCTAGTCGGTGCTGCGGAGGCTGTTTCAGGTGGTGATGACGTCGCGGAGGGGACTTGGGTTTGATCTAGCGGTGATGCTGTTCCTTTTGTGGGATCTGATTGCGGTGATACTGTCGTTAGTCTTGGTCTTTCTGTTGCCGGATCCGGCGTTTCTGTTGGTGTAAAGCCGATATCGAATTTCGAGGCCAGTGTAGACGCGTAGTCGGAATCGAAGTGGACGAGGTCTGACTCCTGCCAGTATACCAACATCGGTTGCATGATGACTGTCCCGCTGGAGATGATGGAGGGTTTTTCGGGTATTTCTTGCCCAGCGGCGTTCGTTGGCAAGGTCGCGCCCGCCACGGTATACGCGGTGATGGGCGTATCAATGGCTGATAGACAATCTGTTGCGTCGGACGCCGTTGCCATATAATCACTATCGAGGGTGTTAGCGGGGACAATCCCAGTCAAGGTCAGGCCAGGCCAGGTGTATATCCGAAATAATCGCCTCGACAGTCAAAATATCACACGTACTCTCTACAACAAGCAGCTCCCCATGCCCTTAAGCCGCCTAACGTCCAGTCCGGAGTTCGGAACTCGACTATTTGCTTCAACTGATACCCACTAATACATGTGCCCGGGCTGTGCGTCATGGTGGTATAGGGCTGACAGTAGAGAGGAATGAATTTGTGGACATGGCTGGGTTGACCCGGCTGCTGGTAGTTCGTGCCTTCGGTACACGTCGGGTTGAAAGTGAAGGGAGTGGTGAGCGGTGGAAGAGTACTGAGTGTGTTTACTAATGGATATTGGCTTCCTGATACTGTAAAGATGGAAAGAATGGCATCATCGATGTTTGCCATAGTAGCAAGTCGGTGGATAGCAGACTCCGGACGAACGTGAGATTTGTAGCCAACAAAAGTCGAGTATTTGGCAGGGTTGGATACATCGACCATAACGCGTCGGTAGCAACGTTCCAAATGCGTAAAAGAACACGGCTATCCCATGCGTAGTGGCTTAATAAGCCGCATCTGATTCGCAAAGGGAGCTGTGCCACATCTGTGCAGGGTTTAGGCTTTGAGGGCCGTGCTACGTCTTTGTCCAGAAATATTGCGTTCGATATTGTTGGACCCTGACAGGACGACGCCAGTTGGCAAAGCGTGGGAAAGGCCACAAGGAGCTACTCCATGCGGAATTATTCAATGTTACGGAACACGATGTCGCCTGTGAGCCTCGATAGCGCGACTCTTGCTGTGCATTACGATTTTAGCAGACTACGTATCGCAAGTAGATGCACATTACGTACGAGTTGTAGAGAGAACGTTCATTCCTACCACATCGCCCTTCCATCGTCTCCGCCACACACACCCAAAATCAACATCATGCTCCTTTTATCGTATTGGTACACATATTCATTACACTCGGGCAGCTGTTGCTCATGGTTCCGATTGCCTGCCAGCAGGGGCAGCGTAACTCGTCCACTTCGCCAACTATGTCCTCTGCCTCGGGATAAACTCCGGCTGCTCATTTTGCTTCGCGAACTTCTGTTGAACAGCCCGTTGCTTCTGCACTCGCTTCTTGTACATCAGAAACCCAGCAACACCCATCAGTATCGCCGCGATGGCGACGCCAACACCAACACCCGCCTTAGCGCCAGTATCGAGCCCAGATCCCGAGCTATTAGCACCTGAAGTACCTTGAGAACCTGGGACCGCTGATGATGTCGCTGAGGTGAGTTGAGTTCGAGCTGGAGGTGATGCTGTCTCGCTTGTGATAGCCACCGTCGCAGAGGGTGTAAAGCCGATGCCGAACTTTCCCTTCAGGGTCGCTGCGTACTCGGGGTCGAATTTCGAAAGGTCGGATTCCATCCAGTATATGCTCATGTAGTTGGATCTCGCGGTTCCACTACTGAGTATGGTAGAGGTGGTTTTTGGATCGCGGTTATCACCGGCCCATCCATCCCACGCAGTAATCGGTGAAGTGAAGATTGAGATGCAACTGTAAAGACTTTCGGCGGTTTCTATGTTCGTCCAACCGCTGTGATTACTGTTAATAAAAGTGCGCTTGGCCCTGCTAGGACTACTGAATATGTAGCCGTGCGACAGGCTCATACTAGGACGTACCTTCTGCAGCAGGCGGCTCCCCATACGCGAAGCCCGCCTGATGTCCAACCTGGTGTTCTATACTCGACTACGTTCACGATGTGGTAGTCACTGAGGACTGTACCTGGGCTGTGCGTATCCTGTGCGCCAGGCCAACAGGTCTTACTGGGTGCATAATCCACAACAGTTCTTGTGTCGCCTGAGATGTTGATGAGCCAGCTGTAGGCGCAGACGGAGGTTGGGGGCGTAAAAGGCGTCGTGAGTGGCTCCCAAGTCGATGTGTTCAGAAATCCCGGCGGTGTCGTCGGAAAGAACTCCCCTGGTGGTACCGTTTTGATCGTGAGGGTAGCAGTCTCAAGACCTGCCATGATGGGGAATTTGCGGAGAGAGTGATGTAAGAAAATTCCGTATGGAATCGACGATAGTACTCTGGGTTAGCAGCCTTTGTGGTGATCCGCTGTTTTGATCATAACGCGTCGGTGGTGGCAGCCTCTATAACAAGAACCCATCGGCCAACGCGTCGCAAACCGCGTTTGTGCCCCTTGCGTAGAAGGCAATTTGCGGGAGTAGCTGTGCCGTATACGCGCAAGGACATAATTTGCAGCAAGTGGCTACCATTGGTCACTGTTTTGTGATCAAACCCGTGCCGCATCTAGTTCCCACAGCCTCGAGCCTGTTTCCGCCGCATCTGGCAGCGAATGGCTGAGTACAAAGGACTGTACCGAAGAGTAAAAGCAAATGCGACTCAATCGTAGATACGATAGCTCACAGCGCTACAGGATACAACTGTGGCTTGTCGATGAACGCCGACCAACAAGCTGAAGGGACGTAGGTTTCGGACTGCCTCTTGTGACTAGACAAGAGCAGTTGGTACAGTGGAGGGGAACAGGTGGCTATCGCGATGGTTTTGCTCTTGATAAACCTTGAAAGCAGAGCGAACGTCCTCCACCACCACCCCTCCGCCTCCCCACCCACCCTTGGCAATGCTGAAAAGAGGACTATCACTTGTAGCTGCATTATCTCGATGTAGGGATGCGGAAGTCTTCGGATAGACTCGCCGTCAGCCAGGCGGACCTATGCAGCGCGCGTCTGAACGAGTTCAGATTGTTCGTTCTGTAAGGCAGCTTTACGGTCAAGCCTCGCATTCTTGCGAACGTATCTTCTGTACAGTACGAGTCCGGCGACAACCATTATTATGCCCGCGATGGCGATGCCCACGCCTATGCCTGCCTTTGCGGCGATACTGAGATCAGGTTTGGATGACCTTTCGCCACCATCGTCTGCCGGAGAAGTAGATGAAGTGAATTGACTCCGGTCTGACGAGGGTGCCGTTTCGGACGTGGCTGTCGGCGTGAAGTCGATGTCTAGTCTTGCGGCTAGTGTCGCCGCATATCCAGGATCGAAAAGTGAAAGATCCGTTTCTTGCCAGTAGACAATCATTGGGGTCATCAACTGAACTCCCCTGCTTATCTCTCTTGGCTCTGTCCCATCTGGGTCGCTGATGAGGGCGGGGTAGCCATTGGAAGGATATAGCGCGGTGACGGGTGTGCTGAAGCTGGAACTGCAAGCACTCGCTGTCGCGTCCGACGCCAACATGCCGCTATCGTCTTCGTCAGCTTAAGTGCCCGGGCTTTTATGTAGCAGGAGTAGCTCTGTAATAGCTAGATCCATGGACGTACTCCCTACAACAAACAGCACCCCATGCGCGTGAACCCCCTGACGTCCAACCTGTGGTTCTGTACTCGGCCAGTGCAACCATATGGTAATTGCTGATACATGTGCCTGGGCTATTATAGGCCCGGCTGCTGTGAGGTAGGCATGATGTGGGAACGGGGTTTGTGAGGACTGTGGAAGTCAACGGATCCTGGATAATCCACTGATCGGTACATGTCGACGCAAATGTGAAAGAAGTCGGAATTGGCAAGTAATGGTTGAGCTCATCATTGGTTGGAAAGAATCCGCCTGATCGTACAGTATAGATTGTGAGGCCGGCCTCTTCGAGACCCGCCATAAGTCCGGCTGCTAGACAATGTATCACCGAAAGAAGTCGAAAGTAGTTGATATGGTCTCGAAAGTGTATCTGAGATGAGCGGTACTATCTGCGAGGGCCGTGTATTTCAGTTCCAATGCGTCGGTGGCGCTCAATGACAACGCGTAGCAATAAAAAGGGTTATGGTCTCCTGCATGGTGATTCAATGCCAGATGTTTAATTCGCAGAGACCACTACGCCGTATGTGCTCATGAGGCAGAGGTCGAGGTGGCCCGTGAGAAGGATCGAATCGTTGGCTGTTGAGCGTTGGTTGGGGCTGTGCCGCACCTTGTCCCGTAGCTACAAGGATCCAGAATACCGGATCCAAGCATATATGGCTAGAGCTGTCTCCTTAATTTGAGTGGAAAGCTACTGTAACCACTGCTAGCTATACGGTGCGCATCTGAACCAACTCAGGTTGTTCGTTCTGTAAAGCAGATTTGCTGTCGAGCTTCACCTTCTGGACGCGTCTCCTGTAAAGTAAGAAACCAGCAGCGCACAGTAATACTACTCCAAAGGCTACCCCAACACCAATGCCTGCCTTAGCGCCGCTACTGAGACCGGTAGATTCTTCAGAGTCCATTTCGAGGGACGACGTCGCTGATGGGAATTGACTTCGATCTGGCGGAGACGCTGTTTCCGCTGTGGCATCGGCTGTGGCTACGGCAGTCGGTGTGAAGTCAAGATCAAATTTCGATGCGAGTATAGCCGCATATTCGGGATCAAATCTCAAGAGATCTGATTCCTGCCAGTAGCCTGCCATAGGCCCCATGGACGCGATCCCACTGCTAAGAACTGTGGCGTTATCTGTTTGGAGGACCATCTCGCTTCTGGACTCTACCCATTTGGTGGGGAACACAGTGATAGGCGTGGAAAACGATGACCAGCACCAGGCAAAGCCACTGTCTGTATTGGTAAAGCCACTAATGTCCATGTCAGCAGGAGACAGCTTATGATGAAGGGACCGTGGTGGTCAAACATCTGAACCTACCTTTCACAACAAGCGACAGCGAACACGCGGCTACCCCCCGACGTCCAATCTGATGTCCTCCATTCGACGATTTGCTCGATATGGTAGTCGCCATAGCATGTACCAGGGCTGTGTATACGTGACCCACCAGGCAAACAGTCTGAGGGCACCGTAGGTATCGCAGAGATGAAAGAACCCACGCTCCAGAGTGCCCAGCTAGTGGTACATGAAGACGGGGGGTTCCATGGAGTCGTAAGTGGGCCCCAAGGGTCTCTCGGATCCAAATAGTTGAATGTGGGAAAGCTATCGGGTCCGGCTGTCGTTATCGTGTGGCGAACATCATCAATATCTGCCATAACGGGAAATCTGTAGATTAATGGCAAAGGAGCTGTAGTTGACGTAATGGTAGAGAAGCCCCGAGCGAGAAGTGCCTGTCAGGGCTAAATACTTCAATCATAACGCGTCGGCATCAGCAGGCTCTATATGTGCAATGCTGGAGTGAGATGGCATAACGCATTGCTATCCCCTGCATGATTCTTCGATGCGTGGCTGTTGATTTGCGAAGGCGACTGTGCCGTGTGTGCGCCAGTTTCGAAGCTCCGGAAAGGCGAACATCGTTGGTCCACACGCCATAATTGGGCTGTGCCATATCTTAGCTCTGAAACTGTGCGCTGAAATTTGCTGGGTCTCAGCAGCATGCGAGCAGGTAATGGGATGCGTGTAATTGTATTATGGTTGTTGTTCAGGTTGGAAAGGCGATTGCAGGCAGCAGCTTACGCCGCTACTAGTAGCCAATCAAGTGGTTTCCGGGGTCCTCTTAGCGCGACTTTTCGGGCCTGAACGTGTTCGAAGAAGAAGAGCCGCTGAACGCTTTACGTGCTTGTTAAATCTCCTTTCCGTCGCGAGTAGCCAATTTGTTTATAAAACACCATGCATCTGCTAGATCTGCCATTGGAGCTTTTGCACGAAATCCTTGGCTGGGCGATCTTAGTGCGGGGAACAAAGCGCGGCCTTCGATTACGGCTTGTGAATAGTAGGCTTCCATCTGCCATCTTGTGCGCAGGTACCTCTGCTAACAAGCGGCTATAGAGGTTTTCGATGGGGAAGTTATGAGGGTACTTGCCCTATACAAGCTTCTGGATGCCGAGTTCCGGCCTCTGTTACATCTTAGCAAGGAGGCTGCACCTACTATGCTTATAGCTTATCTTGAGCGCCGGGTATTGAACGAGCGATGTGGCGGAGCTCCTGTTCTACTCTGGATCCGCAGCGTTGCCAATCGTCTCAGTCAAGAGACTGACGATGAGCGAAACGAGCACGACTACATTCGTCAGCTATGCCCCCTTGTGTTGCAGGAATTCAATCGCCTAGACGAACTGTGGACAACCAACTTAGCTGCTGAGTTCTGGCACGACGGACTTTTATATGGTAGCGACTTGGACACCGATATCTATATTGCTGCCCTGTACACACAGACACTCCCAGTTTGCGCGAGATGGACCCTCCACGGAAACCATTTCAATAAACCAAGTTGGCTCTTTGGTTCGGCATGCATCCACGCTGGTAGTTTCAGCAATCATGAGGTTCTTGCCGCTATGCTGAACTTGAGGTATAACTTTGACTTCCAGTATATGCGAATGCGCTTGCTCCAATGGGCTGCCGAGTATGGACGCGTAGAAGCAATACAGTTCTTGTGGAATTTCCAGGCTGTGGAACGTCCGTGGATGCTTGACAGAAAGACCAAGAGACCTTCCTACTGGTGTCGGAACGAACGAGCGTTGGCTGCGCTGGACACACCCAGTTTGGAGATTTATGACTTTCTTGTCAAGAAACGAATAGAACACTGCGTTACCAGAACGTATGGTGTTGAGGACTACACGGCATTCCTAGTGCGTAGCGCGAGGAAAGGGTGGGTGGATATGACGGTGCATTATCTTGCACTTGGTGCCCGTATAGACGGCTTGGGTTCGTCTAGTGAGTACGAGAAGCGACCAATTCTAGGCGCTTGTCGGAACGGACACGAGGAGGTAGTTCGGGTATTGCTAGGACATGGTGCGGATACATGTGAACCGGCGTTGGAGACAGCAGTACGGTATGGACAGTTCGCTGTTGTTTCTCTTCTTCTAGAGTACGATGCAGAGATAGGGAACGCTCTGACTGAAGCAGTTGGTAAAGGATATCGAAGCATTGTTGGTAGATTATTGGCGCGCGGTAGCTACAGCCAGGGGGAATTGGAAAGCCTGCAAAGTCGGGCGCTCGAGATTGAGGATGAGGCAACCTTTCGAGATCTGCTAGAGTATACTAGTGTTAGCGAAGCGGGTTAGACGGCATTTGGTTCTTCTTAGATTATGCTCATAGAAATTCGTGTAGTTGATGCAATCATGCCTGATCGGGGGATCCACTTTGATTCACGCAACATCGTTGATGGGCGACCGATTTCCAGACTCATGTTCCCGATGTATGGACGTGGACATCTTCGGATCAATGCGCCGCTGACTAGAGATGGCTAGATAATACCGTGATTACTGAAGTGTCGCACAGGTGGTGCACAAGACAGAGGAGACGAATAGCCGATGGGCCGAAGAGCAACTACCGGCACGTAGTCGGACGCGGACGACACGGTAATTTGGACGACGCGCTAAGACGCGATAAGAGGAATGAGTTGTCAGGTATCAGAGGCACCAGAGGACGTGGTGTTGAGACGTGGGCTGCGAAGGGTGCGGACAAAGGCGCAGTAGCTGAATGACGAGCGCATCATTGGCTACCGGGAGGACATGCGCATGCACCGATCCGTTCCGTTGAGGTGTGTGTGTGTGTGCATGTTCCTGGGTTGTGGAGTCGTGGTTCGCTGGCATGGCGTCAGCAGCGCCGACGCCGATTGCGGGCGCGAACATGGACTTTCTGACTCAGGCCCCACTAAAAGACATTGAGAATTCCCTCACTCCGCTACTCCAGACTTCACACGACACCACACACGTCATTTACTGAAAGAACACGTCTACATCTACAGACTATACTACTACTTTTAGGAAACTCTTGATCGCCAATTGCTTGGAGAAACTACAAAAACACCACCATGTCTGCATACACAAACGGAACCACACACGAGTCGGAGCGGATAGCTCACACGGAAGAGAAGCACCTCCCTGGAGGCTGGGTTGTCCTCAAGTTCGGGGGCACGAGCGTGGGCAAATTTGCGGAGAACATAGCGGGCATCGTCAAGTGCGACCCATCCCAACCCTCACCAGATGGAAGGCGCTGACTGTAAACAGAGCTGGTCTTGCGACGAACCGCGCCGCCATTGTCTGCTCCGCACGCAGCAGCAACACCAAGCTCGAGGGAACCACCAACCGCCTCCTTCGCGCCGCCCGCGCTGCCGAAAAGCCCAACCACCGCGGTTATGACGAGATCGTCGAGGCCATCCGCACCGACCACATCCAGGCCGGCAAGGACATCCTGAGGAACCCGGACATCCTGGCGTCGTACACGGAGGAGGTCAATGCCGAGTGTGAGAGCCTCGTCAAGATTTTGGAATCCGCGCAGCACTTGGAGGAAGTCACGAACCGCGCCGAGGACAAGATCATCAGCAAGGGCGAGAAGCTGAGCTGCCGCTACATGGCCGCTATCCTGAACGATCGCGGCACTCCGGCCCAGTTTGTCGACCTCAGCGACATTGTCAGGCTCCATGCGCCTATCAAGGGCGGGCTCAACGACAAGTTCTACAAGGACCTGGCCGAGGACCTGGGCAAAGAGGTGGCAGCGTGCGGCGACAAGGTGCCCGTTATCACCGGATACTTTGGCAACGTACCCGGCGGACTCCTCAACTCCATTGGACGTGGATACACCGACCTCTGCGCTGCCTTGGTCGCCGTCGGCACTCAGGCCAAGGAACTCCAGGTCTGGAAGGAGGTGGACGGCATCTTCACGGCAGACCCCCGCAAAGTCCCCACGGCCGCCCTTCTCCCCACCGTCACGCCCTCCGAGGCTGCTGAGCTGACCTTTTACGGGTCTGAGGTCATTCACCCCTTCACCATGGAGCAGGTCATCCGCGCCCGCATCCCTATCCGTATCAAGAATGTGATGAACCCGCGCAATGCCGGTACCATCATCTTCCCGGATAACCTGAAGGACATCGACGGTCGTGCGCCCCTGAAAGACGGGAAGCTGTTCCGCACTCGTTCCGCGAGCCTCCTCACTCAGCTCGAAGGCCCCAAGCGCCCTACTGCTGTCACCATCAAGCACAACATCGTCGTGCTCAACGTGCACAGCAACAAGCGCACCCGTGCCCATGGTTTCTTGATGAACATCTTCAGCATCCTCGATCGGTGGCACCTTTCTGTCGACCTCATTTCTTCTTCCGAGGTCCACGTGTCCATGGCTCTGCACTCTGAATCCGCCCTTCTGAGTGGTGGGGGTGAGGATGAGTACAAGATTCAGAGCAAGGATCTTCAAGGTGCGGTCAACGACCTCGGCCAGCTCGGCACTATCGACATTGTGCCCGATATGGCCATTGTGAGCTTGGTCGGTAAGCAGCTGAAGAACATGATTGGTATCTCTGGTAGATTCTTCAGCGTGTTGGGACAGAACAACATCAACATCGAGATGATCTCTCAGGGTACGTCTTTCTCTATCTTAATGCCGCTTCATTGCTAACATTCACCAGGCGCCAGCGAGATCAACATCTCCTGTGTCATTGAAGAGCGCGAGGCCGACCGCGCTCTCAATGTTGTACATACAAACCTTTTTACTTTCTTAGACTAGAAGTCGCATTCGCATTAGCGGAGTTGAATACCACCTAGACAAAACTTTCCAGGTCAATATTATATTTACATATCCGTTTCACTTTCACCACCATGCCTTCAGTCATTCTCATCGCTTAATGGGCTCACCGCGTTAGGTCGATGTCTCTATCCACCGAGTAAGTTTCACCCCGACTTGCGCGTTTGCTCATGGTCGTAGCGCGCGATAGTCGCACCACGCAACAAATACAATCACAACGCACCCTCGACCCAAGACAATTGTCACGTCTGTTGCGAGACACCGCTCGACTCCTTCACAGTGCAAGTGAAGGACATGTGACCGAATTTCCCCATCGAGTTGCAAATCATTCCCACGCGGTTGCCTACACTGCCCCGGGCGCAACTATTGCGATTAGTTAGTCTCGTGTCCCACTTCACGCGACCAAACACCCTAGAGGAGGTTATGACACTCAATCTGCTCGCCAGATCACAAGGCCTATCGAGCACGCCGCCAAACACTCCCGACGCAAGCCACGAAAGATTCCCATCTGCATTCGAAACCCGCCCACATACGTCCAGAATGCAAGAACGAGTCCTCACGATGGAGCGCGTCTTCACGAAAGAAGACAGCGCCATCTCGCCCGCCACCGGCAAGTCAATCAGCCAACACGAAGCCGCAGGACTAAAAAGCCTGACTAAGGAGCAACATCTGAGGTTCTGGGAGGAAGTCATATACTGGAACAAAGAGCGATTCACCGAGGCGAAATGGCGGCAGGCGAAGAAGAACATTTTGCGGGCTAAGAAGGAACATTGCATGAAGGTGCTTGGGTGGTATCCTCCTCCTCCGCCTGTACACTCGATCGTCACGCCAGGTGGACGGCAACTTCTTCTTTACAGCTCGTCTTCATGGACTGCGCCTACGGGTGCACACCCCCTTCGCCCAGCACATCTTCCGCGCTTCGAGACTGCGAGCCCGACTACACCGCGGCCGCGATGGGAGATCTTGTCTTCGGGTCCTGGGACGCCGAGGTCGGCTACTGCTGGGCCTGTCAAGAACTCTTTCGCAGAAGGCGGGTTTTGGGAGTCACTGATTTCACCGAAGACGCCTGTTACGGCTATACCGATTCCAACGACACCTGTTACCGCCGTCCCGCCTTCGCCATGGCTTCCTAATATTCCCTCCATAGACGCCGAAGCCAAAGCCACCTACGAAGACCTCAAAGCCTCCGTCTCAAAAATGGCCCTCAAGGTCTGCGCAAGCCGCCACACACTCCGCCGGTCCTTCAATAGCGACAACGATGTCATACACCCTTCCATGGTGCGTCCAAAAGACACCCTGCTCGCCGCTCAACTCACTCTCGGCTCCTTGAAATTGCATCAACCTCTGTCGACATACATCGACGCCTCGCTTCCCCAAAAGCTCGACTGCCATGCCGACGACGAAGCAGCTGGCGCAAAACAATACAAGATCTACCACCGGGAGCAGCTCGATGATGTGGATAGCTGGTTGCAATTTGATGCGCAGACGGGGGAGTTGACGACTATACTGGAAGCTCAGCGCGATTTACTCAAGATGAACAAGGATAGGCGGAAGAGTAGAGAGGTTGCGGTTGGGGAGAAGGGTATCAAGCTCGCGTGGGCTGTAAAGGTTGTGGATGATTGTCAGTACTTCGCCGACATTGCCGCGGATGGGGAAAGTGAAGGTAGCGACGAGGGGTATGAGTACGGTAACTTCGTTCGAAGCCTGGGAGATGGCGATGGCAGTTCCTTGCGGTCGAATAGCTCTACGCTCGACCTCACCTTGACACTAACCAACAGCTCCAACGCCCGCAGCAGTGGCACAGAAGACAGTCTCAACCTGACTCAACGCTCATCCAGCAGCCCCATCAAACCAACCCACGACCCCAGCTCCGACACCTTACCACTCCGCTCACGCAACTACACCCTCTCCAACCTCTCCAACGCCACCAACCCAAACATCTACACACCACCCCCCTCCCACGCCCACAGCATCCGCCGCAGCAACGCCACAGCCACCCCTTCCTCTTCCGCATCTCGCCGTAACCGACAGGGTAGTCTCTGGATCAATACCAGTCTAGCCAATCCTTCGATCAGCGCGGCTAGTACGATGAGCCCGCAGGAACGTGGGACTAGGCACAAAGGACCCAGTATCGAGGATTTGAGCGGGTGGGCTGAGGAGTTGAAGAAGATGGAGAGGAAGAGAATGGAGATGAGGGGGGATGGGCGGTTGGGCAGGCCGGCGGGGGCTGGGAAGCCGAGGCAGTTGAGGTGGTTTTCTAATACTGAAGGGGGTGATAGTGACGATGAGGACAGGGCAGAGAAGAAGACGACGGATAAGAAGGAGGAAGCGAAGGATGCGGAGGGCGACGGCTTGACGATTAACGGGGCCGTTCACCCTGCGCTGAGGAAAGGTGGTCACGGCACCGATAATGGCATTACGAATTGGCGTGACAATGTCGACGTGTCACGAAGAGAAGAGAGGAATAGAGGCGCAAGCGGCGGCAGCACCAGCACAGCTAGTTGGCGCTGCGAAACTGCTTCTATCGTTGAGCGGGAAAGCCGTCCTTCTAGCATGGCCATGGATGATGAGGTCTACGAGATCGAAGACGAGAACCAGATATCCGATAACGACTACGACCACAACCACGACAACCCGTTTGACGACGCCAACAACCCCTCATATCTCGACGCCTCCGACTCCGACACCAATGACTCTCCCACAATAACACCAACACCGACTACGCCAATCCATCCCCAGCGCACCTCCTCCTTATCACCGACACACGCACCGATCAAGATGTCCGCATTATCAACGCTACGTCTCGAACCGCCCCGTCGACCACCGCCACCTTTTCGACCACCACCGCCACCGACGCCGTACTGTAATATGAGGCCGCCGGCGCCGCGGCCGACGGCTGGTGAGGGGGTGGTCATGTCTATGCCGCGGTATAACAGACAAGCTACTACGTCTTATGAACGGCAGTTGGGTCAGATTTCTGCTGTACCGACATCGTCATCGTTTATCGAGGTGGTTAAACGGCAGGGGCAGGGGCAGGCTGTTGCGCGTGCAGACGGAGAGGAGCAGACTGAAAAACAGGGGAGTGCAAGTGTGAGCGTGAGTAAAGCAACTTTACTCCAAGAAGCCGTTCAGTCACGGGGAGGCGGAGGAGGACAACATACGCGTATGTGGAGTAAAAGCAGTGGGAACGCCAAGGACGGTACGAAGAGTAAAGAAGAAGAGGAGTGGGACGAAGAATTGAAAAGGATGGAAGGGAGGGAGAGGGCGAGGCAAATTGGTAGTTCGTAGATTTCGTGTAGAGCCTCATGGCATGCATGCTTGGATGGAGAAGAAAATGATGATAGTTTGACATGTCACATACAACAGAGATCTTTGGAGAGTAGTAAAGTGGTGCGTAGGAATCTGGATTAAGAATACTGCTTCCAACTTGATGCAACAAACACCCTACTGACCGCGTACTACGAAAAGCGGAAAAGCAGAAAGAATAACGGGTATATAAACATTCCAACACCATCAAACGCCCAAGTCATCACCGTGATCACAATCACAACAACATCTAAATGCCCACAGTCCGCGCTCACAACGGATACTAACTAACCGTACACCACGAACACGGCGCCTCTTCCGAATCTCTAATATGACATGTCAGCAGATAATCAAACACATCCAACACGTCCCAGCACAACCAAAGAGGCGGAAAGGGAAGGGGAGGGAAGGGAAAGTGTCGTCATCTACATAACAACGCACTTATCCCTCTCCTCCTGTCCCTGCCCCTGTCCCTGCTGCCCCTGACTCGGTCTCCTCCCTCCGCCCATCCGTCCAGGCAAAACATTACCATGCCTGCCCCTCCCCGCGCCAGGCAGCGCCGGCAACCCGCCACTCGTACTCTGATACGCACTCCCGCCCTGCCCCGGCACCGGCGCTTGAGCACTCGCAGGATGACCAGCCGGAGGCACATATTGCGGACTTGTAATAGCCTCCTCGTACAACGGCGGCGGAGCCGCTTCCCCAGCAGGTCTATGCCCCGTAATATTATTATTACGGCGGGGCGGAATGACCGGGTTCTGTGGGTTCCGCGGTGGCTGGGGAGGAGCGTTGATAGCGTCCATGGAAAGTTGGTTGTTGCGGGAGTTGCGTTGTTCCGTTTCGCGGCGCTCGCGGTCTTCTTCTTCTTCTTGGAGCTGGAGGGCTAGGGCGAGGTCGTGGTCTTCTTGTTCGGCGCGGCTGAGGGCTTCCGGGGAGGTGACGTCGGTGTCTTGGGGGATGTTGGATTGTGCGTTGCCGCGGCGGGCGGGGACGGTGGTCCAGCCTTGGCCGTTGTCGACGCCGGAAAGTTGGTGCTGGTCTTGTAGGCCGGAGGTGTTGCTGTTGTCGACGGAGCGGAAGTCGCCGGAGAAGAGCTGGCTACCTTGGCCGTTGACGTCGGTAAGAGACTCCCAGACAATTTCGTCGTGGGTGGAGTAGCCCTGGTCTGTGACGAGAGTGACGAGCTCGCCATTGCGAGGGTTCTTGCAGAGCGTCGAAAAGTGGTCGTTTCGGAACAGGATAGCGACTTGACCGGGCTGGAGGTTATCGCGAATGACGTTCAAACCATGATCGGTCAACTGTGTTGGCCAACGCATCAAGAACTCTTTGATGGCATGGATATCCGTGAACATTTGTTGCTCGTCCTCGTTCAGAGACTCGCCCGCCCCTAACTTTGCGTTCAACTCCTCTTCCTGGAACTGTACAAACTGCGATGTTTCGTAGGACGCAGCTACGCGACTAAAGGCAGCATAAGCGTCGGATCCAGCCTCGGGCAGCCATCCGTGCATCAGTGGGATGTTGAAAGTGCGGTACAGCTTCATATCTTGCGTGTTCTCAAAAGCGCCAGCTCGGCTCGTGAGCGTGGATTGTGCATCCGGGGTGTTGGAGTCTGGGACAAACATGGGGTTGACATTGAGACCTGTGTGGAGAGCGAGGAGGAACTTGTACAACTCGCTCACGTCGGGTAGAGCTTGCGCAGCATCACCCCGTCTACCGGACATCAACTCGTCGAAGACGGCATCAAGCAGTAGTCCCAGGCTGACTGTCTCGCGTGTGCGTAATGTCTCAACAAGCGCAGTGTCAAGCCTAGCAGGAGTCGAAAGGACTAGTGCGTTGACCAAAGCCAGCAAAGGGCAGGGGCCATTCAGGTTCTGCGTCAGGATGGGCGAAACGCGCATGTCCTCGATGGTGTGATCAAGCCAGCGAATGTGCTTAATTTGGTAGTGTTCCTTCCTCTGCCTCTCCATTGTCGTATTGGGCGATTCCAAGGCAGGAGGAGCGGACGAACCAATGCCTGTGTCGATAGGTCTAGGAGGCATTGTAGGCGCCATGTCCTCGTGCGACCTTCTTGGCGGCAGCGCAGGTGGATGTTCTTCGGAGGAGGGTGGTGTTTGCTCGGGCGTGTATTGAGGTGGATGAGACGATTGCTCGACAGTATTCGCATGTGGAATGATTGGGGCGGGAATGTTGTGTGAGCTTTCATTACGGGCAGCTGCATCGCTTGGCGGTGCCGTCCAGGGTACAGTGTCAGTATGAGCATCGTGCGAGGCGGGTTCCCATGGATTCGTATCGAGGGAGGTGTCTGGATGCTCCGACCGGGGTGTAGGTGAGTTCACAGCAATGACAGGCGGCTCTACTGGTGCTGTCGACTGCGTAGACGGGGCATGGTCATCTAGTCCAAGGTTCTTCATGTCGTGGGTGGGTGTACTTGGCGTCTGGAAGGCCGGGAGCTCGACGGGCGCCTCGTACTTGTGGGCGTGGCTCGGCGCATCGCCCCAGATAGCCTGGCTGCTCTCTCCGTCCCAGCTGTTCTGTCCAGTCGTCTGCATCTTCAGGTAGGGGTTGTTGGTCTTCAGCGGGATGGAGCCATTGGACTGCTCGGACACGGTGCTGGCTGCCCCGTAGGAAGCCGCGCTGGCACCGGTGGGCGTGGCCGAGATGCTTTCCTGTGAGCGCTTGATGGGGATACCTGCCGGCGGCCCTGGCCTCAAAGCATCGGGAAGGCCGCTGGTGATGTGTGTTGTACTTGGCACAGGTGGCCTTTTTCCAGCAGCCGGCTTCAGGGCAGCAGGCACGTCGTTGTGGTTGATGTCTTCGAAGTCATCATCCGACTGGTTCCACTCGTCTTCGCTCAGGTCCGAGTCGCTCTCGTGCTTGTCGTCGGGAAGTCGCGTCTCCTCGGGCGTCTTGATGTTGAACGCTGGCGACTTGCTTGTGCTGGGCGGGTTCACGGCACGCTCGGGCGATACGGGAAAGGCAGGCGGGTGCTCGTCAGAGGGCGTCGTGGGATACGGGGGTATCGCTTTGGACAGCGGCGCTGGAACGACGTCGTCGGCTTCGTCGGACTTTCGTAGCACCATGTTTACGGTGCAGTGCCCTGGGGCTTGGTGTGGGATATGGGGGAGTTGTCGCGACAGTCGGCGCGGCGCGGTAGTATGAGGAAGGTGGGTGAGGGGATTGATATTGAAGCAGGACTCCAGCGAAAGAAGCAAAGTAGTCGACGTAGGCGACGTGTTGGACCCGAGTGACACGCCCAAGTAGCAGAAGTCGCGATGGCGATGACGTACGACTGGTGCGAGTGTGTGGCTGAGCCTGTGGCTGAGTAAGACGCGGCGGTGCGCCTCGGAACTATTCCTTGCGACAAATTCACTAGCTCCACCTCACCTTTGCGCGTGCAGAACTCGGGGCTGAGATACCATACTCAGACTTTTAACCATAACTACACATGGAATAGTAAAGAACACAGGACCGCGACCACATTCGCGCCATGCATTCCCACGTCCGCCCCAATACGCACGTTGCGCTGCGACTGCCCTCAGGCCTCTTCAAGATCGTCGAAATCACACCGAATACGTACGTCGCATAGCTGGAGTGAGCCCTCCGTGTGCATATAGATGAGGATTTCTTCTAAACACCCTACAGGAGCATCAATCTCGGCAAATTCGGCACCTTCAACTCCAACCTCCTCCTCGGCCGCCCGTACTATCTCACCTACGAACTGCTCGACAAGGACGATGGCAAATCCAAGACGGAGCTGCGCGTCGTACCCGCTTCCGAACTCCACGCCGAAGCTCTAGGCAGCGACCATGCGCCCACCGCCGAAACTAGCGAAGAGACTGCCGAGGGTGCTGCGGGTGCTACGGGCTTCGACATTGTGGGAGAAGATGGGCAGGTCATCATGCGCAACAACCGCTTGACCGTCGACGATGCTTCACGGCAGGCGCTGTCAATGGCTGAGATTGAGGAGCTGAAGAAGGCAGGCGCCGGCTCCGGTAAGGAGATCATCGCCAAGATCATGGCTTCTCACAACGCAATCGACGAGAAGACGAGCTTTTCGCTGGCCAAGTACACCTTGCGGAAGTCGAAGAAGTACCTGAAGCGCTTCACCGCCCTGCCCATGGATGTTGGTCTGCTCACAGAGTATGTTCTGGAGAAGGAGGCATACAAGATCATGGAGCTGAGGGAAGATTTACTGGGCTTGATCAATAGCTGGGCCAACATACACTCTGGAGCGACGAACCAGGTTCACTTGGCGGAGGATGGAGTCAGCCAGGTAGGAGGGGGCCGATGGCTCGTGGTAGATGATACCGGAGGTCTTGTCACAGCAGCGCTTGCCGAGAAGATGGGCATCCTCTACCCTGAGGACGAATACGACGACTCATCTCCAGAAGAAGAGGCAGCTGACGTCGACATGAACAGCACGCCAGCACCGACCTCCGCCCCAGAGCCCAAAGACACCGACACCGCTATGCCCGACGCCGACGCCACAACAACCACAGACCCCACAGCCACCCCTTCAGATCCTCCCCCACGCCCACGAAAGCCCCCACGACCACACATCCCGCAAATGTCCGCCCAAACCAACACCCTCACCGTCCTGCACCCCAACAACCAACCCAACCTCTCCTACCTAAAATACTTCGGCTACGACTACGGCAACCCCACGCCCGCCCACCCCCTCTACAAACACCTCAAATCGCTCTCCTGGCTCGCCCTCCTCCACCCCGAAGACGACCCTTCCTACGACGAGCCCGAGATAATCTCCGAGGAAGTCCTTGCAAGCATGAAGTCAACGAAACGCGGTACCTACTATAAGAAGCGCAGACGTTGGGAGCGGGTTAAGAGCGTGGTAGATGAGACGAAGAGGGGTGGGTTTGATGGGTTGGTGGTTGCGACGGCGATGGATGTGAAGACTGTGTTGAGGGAGTTGGTGCCGCTTGTGAAGGGTGGGGGCAGGATTGTGGTGTATAATCCTAATGTTGAGCCGTTGGTTGAGTTGTGCGATCTTTATTCGAAAGAACGCCGCGCGGCGTATATCGCACGCGAATTTGGGCCTCCGCCGCAAACCAACGGTCACGGTACAAGCAACACCAACGGCAAACGGGTCAAAATCGAAGAAGACGTCGATACCCCAGCAGGTACATCGGAAGCCGACAACGAAGAAGACGACTTCCCGCTCAACCCCACGTTGGTCCTCGCACCTAGTCTGCAGACGGCTAGAGCGCGTCAGTGGCAGGTTCTTCCTGGCCGGACGCATCCTATGATGACGAGTAAGGGTGGTGCCGAGGGGTATATTTTTACGGCTACGAGGGTGGTGCCGGTTGAGGGGAGGGTGGAGGCGAGGGGGCATCATGGGAAAAAGAAGAGGAGGGTTGAGGAAAGTGGGGAGGTGGCTGTTGCAGCGTCAGCTTGAGGTTGATGGGGATTCGTGATAGGAATTTGGTTGGTATGTAGTGTTTTGGCCAGTTGAGTGAGCATGTAGGATGTCTTTTGAATGTTCCGCTGGTGTCGTACATGAGAGCTCGCAGGTGGGGGAGCCGTCTCATCTTTGCGCCGGATATATAAGTTCATCTCTCGCACCTGCTCTCTTTCACTTCAACACACTCTTTTTCCATCATTCTCCAAAAACCTTCTCGAAAATAACCCATGGGCTGCCTCTGTTTCTCCAAAACTCCCGTACACGAAGCCATGAGCTGTTTTTCCCTCCCTCTTCCAACACGCCATACAATTTGGCTATGTCAGCGTCCGCCATCCAAAACTATAGATCGTTCTCGCCATGGCCTTCGCTCCTCTTCTAAAACTGCATTTACTCTTGTCTATGTTGGAGAGAAGAGAACCGGAACTTTCGAAACGGGAGAGACATGAATGCTTTGGCTGAGCCGCCATGCATCTCAGCGCTGGACTTTCGTTCACACCGCTTTCGATGCGTCCTGCAAATGGACGCAGTGTATGAAACCTACGCCTCAACGATTCATGTCTCCTGCATCACACTTCAATGTTCCAAAAACTAAAAAACCAGGCCCTAATTTATATGTGCTGTCTCTCTTCCAAAATCTTGACCTTCGCTATCATCAGTGGGAAGACTGTCGGATTTCTGCGATATCGAAACCGCCGCTGGCTCTAGTGATGATTTCGAAAAGTCGGAGAAGTGCTCCATGTGTTCGAGAAAAACGCAGAATATCGCTTATGGAGAACGAAAAAAGTATCTAGCCTGGTTCGATGACTTCCGTGGCTTCCTTCCCTCGCAAGCCGCTAGATGAGCGGTCTCGGGTATAAAACCTCGTCTTCGTGCGCGATCTTCCTTTCTTGTTTATCATACCTCTTCCCTGGGTTTCTCAAAAAGTGCTGTACACAGCCTTACATGTGCGTTCTCTCTTCCAAAATCCTGATACTATCACTCCATGGCCGAGACGATCTCCGCGCTTGCTACATGCAGCCTTCCGATCCAGAAACGCGACTCGATTGGTTCTATGTTCCGCGACTGCGACATCTAAATCGTAAAAGGGGCGGAGGATGGCTGTGTGCCGTGGTGTTGGACCAAAATAGGAGAGAAACCACGGAATGTGTGGAGAAGAAGACTGAAATGTTACTACGCCTTTGCCATGTTCTGTGGAAGTCAGCACTTCCCACGATAGTGGACTCGAAAACAATCACCATGGCTCACGATGGACTCTCTGTCTCGGTGTCCAGCATTCTTCCTTCAAAATCAAAAGTCGAAAGCGAATAACTGATGTGAGCGGAGAAAGACTCCGCCTGTTCCACACTCACAGCCCAAAACCCACTCGACATATTTGTATGTGCCACGACATGGAAGTCCAGAACACGAGAAATACCCTCCTCATGACTCTTTGTCTGTGCTCTTCCTACAATCACAAGATTCATCGATAATGTCTGTTGAGAGGGGTCTATTTTCCCAAAAGTCATCTTCCAAGCTGTGGATGGGAAACGTTGATGTTGTGCGACTGTGACCTCCAAAATACCGCCTGGAAGAGTATATGGTCGTTGTCTGTGTGCGAGAAGGGGGATTGATGATGTTGTATTTCTGGAACCGAGAAGAGTCCCGGATGAGATGAGGCACTCAAAACAACGATCCTCAACTCAATGTCTGCTTCTCTTGATCCAGCATCAACGTCACGCTCGTACAGGAAGGACATCTTTGGAATGGTCTGAGCGCCGGTTCTGAGAGCGTATAAATACCCACTGCGTTTCGCTCTGCTTTGTCTTCTACACTCCACTCTACCTTTATTGGTATTCCTCGAAAACACCGAGGGCATCGCTGCATGGTTGTCTCTTCTTCCAAAATGCCACTCATGTCGCCAATGACTGAGAAGTTTCCCGGGGTGTTTACCCAAAAATCGAAACGTTCACGCTTATGTGTCGCAAAGCAGACCACAGCGCTTCACTCTTAATAGCAGGACGTCACTCGCTATGTGAAAGTTGTCCAAAATCTTCTCCTCTACTAGAATGTGTGCCAGAAAGGGCGTTGCGATCTTACGATGCAATATTAAAATGCGCAGGATGACGAGGCATGACTTGTTCTCGTCGCGCGCGGTCGATATAAAAGCTCTCATCTTCTTCTCGATCTCCTTCTCTTCTACATCCTCGCTTTTAATACAGTGGTTACCAAAAGGTTCGAATGGCTATTTCATGACTTGTTGCTGCCCAAAAAAGAGATAGAGAAGCGAGCCATGACGATCTTGCCCGTCTCTGACTTCATCGAAATATTCCTTAGCGCCATCCATGTGCAGCTTTCAATCTTCGCGACCAAAAGTACAAGCTTGAATCTCTATGTGCTCTTCTCCGCTGTTCTTCTGAAAAACATACAACCTAATCTTTTATGACAAGTCGTGGCGCTATCAAAAAGATCTCGAAGACGTGATAATGTCGCGACTCTCTGTTTTCTTCCAAAACCAAAAGCTATCTTCTTGATGAAATCGCCGACGTCGCGTCTCACTGGAACAGAAGAGACAAACAACGCATGTTTCCTGTCGGAAGAACGAGAAAAGCCATCCTACACTGCCTATGTCGCAGATCGTGAGCGCGACAACGCTTAAATGAAATATTAAAACATAGGCCCTATGACTAGCAGATGGGGCTGTGGGGGTATAAAAGCCTGCAGTCTCTTTGCCTTAACTCCCTTAAGCACCGCACTTCATTCTGCACATGTCAAAATACCTGGTTCTCCGTGACATGTTCCTGCTCCTTCTCTCCTTTCCAAAATAAAAGAGGCAGACCGCATGGTTCGAGAGGACGGAACCAAACACACTTTCGCGCAAATCATGGTTGTTTCGAAATTCCAAATTCATGCATATATTCAGCAGCTCGCTGTCTCAGAGACTACATGTGTCCTGCAGGCATCAAAAGTCAAGAGACGCCATATCATGTTCTTCTCTCCCGGTGTCTCAAAAAGAGAGGTAAACAGGCTATGAGAGAAGCCGAACTCGGCAAACCACTTATCCTTCCAGAGGACTATAAATTCCCGCCGTTGTTGTTAATTTCACTACAACCAGCATGCTACGATATATAACCAAAAATAGCCCAGACACAGAACATGTTTGCTGCTGCTGCTTCTCTTCCAAAACACAAAGATATCCGCTCCATAACATCTGGAAACGTCTGCACTTCACGATGAAAAAAAAACGAAAGAAGAGCCCTGATGAGCTTCAGCGCGCTAAAATGCAGGAGATGTCATGATGATTTCCAGCATACCTGTTTCAATATACCTGGTCACGTATCTGAGCGTTCATGAAACTGTCACACGAGACATGGAGAAGAGAACGATGAGATATCTACGCATAGTATTGGCAAAGGCAACGCATGCACTATCTAACGAACCTGATCGATGAATCCATCGATTGGAATTACCGCTTGATGACGCCATCAAATCCTCTCGTAACGCGTAACGGTTCCATCACGCGTGTACCATGCCGGTCGATGAATCCATCGAGCGTACCTGGAATTACCACCGTCCTACAGCATCTCCACCAGCAAGACTTTCTGCAACGGGCGCATCGGATCTGTTGGCCAAACGTGAAGCCTCCGGCACGGAGACGTACTCGACTGCCACCGTCACCGGGGTCATCGTGACCGCTTCATGCTCGCAAAGCATCGATCCGGGGTGGAGGAGCTCGTGGCGTCTCATTCAACCAGAAGCCCCTCTCCTTCCACCCCTTTCCCACTCGCAAATCCTCTGGCAAGGGCAGGGCCAGTATGTACTCCCCTTTTGCATCCGCCCGTAGCATGACGCAAGGCCTTGGGGTGATTAGGCCGCTCTCCCCGTGACTTGTGCAGCAGACAAGGCACGCTCTGGACGCCCCTTGACCCTTCGGGAAAAGATAGGAGCGGATAAATCCATCGGCCGCGGTGAGCATGCAAAGAGCGTTATCTTCATGGTCGGCATCGTTCCAAGCTCTGATGCAGAATTTGGTCGTGAGGCACTTTTTGACTTCATCGCGAAGCAGTTTCGTGAGCTGGGCAGGAATGCCGTTGCGTATGACGACGTTGCGACCATCCTGAGTAGGCAGCAGTATTGCGATGGGGTATTCCTTGGCATGAAGTTCCGAAGAGGCAGTCGCAGGCACGGAGAATTTGGGTTCGGCATCGCTGGCAAATGGGCACTCGCTATCCTGAAGCAGTATCGCGATGGGGTATTCCTCTGCAAGAAGTCTCGAAGAGGCAGTCACAGGCACGGAGCTTTCGGGTTCGGCATCGCTGGCGAACGGGCACTCGCCTTCTCGAGAGCGTCGCGACTGACGTTTTGCTCGAGTGCTGGAAACGCGTTCAGAACTGGCTCGCCGTTTCCCTGCGCCCTTCGTTGGCAGTGTCTTTCGAGGTGCGACATGATCTTCTTGCAGTGTTAGCATCTTTGACTCAATCAGAAATCTGGTGAGTTGATTACCGGTTGCATAGGATGCCTCTTCTGTGACGGCAGCAAGACTAGTTGGAGCGGCAATGGAACGAACCCGCAGACGTTCCTCGTGCATGGCAGGACGACTTCCTTCATCGACCCTTCTCTGCAGACGGGATGCAATGGCACAACCGCTCACTCTGCGTCGATTTTCTTCGTATTGACGCATGGAGGCATTCTCTTCGGCTTGCAGTGCTTCAAGAAAAACGTTGGGTGCGTCGGGCACCTCCGGCAGGTCGGACGCCATCTTGTTGACGTGAATGGTATGGGGTTGCAGTTGCTCTGACGAAATGAACTAATGAGGTGTGCGCGCTACTTGTCAATCACGCTCGTGAGGGCAGGCACAAAGAATCGGATGACAAACGTTGACGTAGCTGTGGTGGTTTGGGCAGGAAGTCGCACCGAGTCCGCCACACCATCTCCCACACACTACTTCTCACAACGCCGCTCGAATTACGAGGCATACCGCACGATCCACGGGATACCAGCGAGATGTCTCCAAAAGTAGTGTTGCAAAAGCTGGCCGCAACACACAGATCGATTGTTCAATTATACAAAGACATTCATTGATGCCGCAACTTCTATATATCCGCAACGATGACCTCTTCCCCTTCCTCGTGAGCTTTTCTCACGAGCTGTCCTTGCGAGCGTCTACTCACGAGCGTTCATTCTACCTACGGGCGTTTACTCACGAGTGTTTACTCACAAGACGACGACGCCGTCACCTCTTGGCCCTCCAAATAACGCACAGCCTCGTCGAAGTAGTCCTCTCTGGCATCCACCTCACCGACTTATTCGAGTAAGCTCTTCTTCAACGAGTCTGTCGAACTCTTTGCTAAGAGTCTCGAAACCATCCTCGTCGACTTCCTCTTTCTTGACGAAAGGAGCAGAAGTGCGACTGGCATTCCTGAGCCTCTGAGTCTCAGCCTTTAGCTGCTCGTTCTCAGCCCTGAGCCGCTCATTCTCAGCCCCGAGAGCATCCATGCCCACCCTCATCTTTTCGATCTCGGCACCACCGGCATCAGTCCGTGTTCGCTTCGGTTCCGGCTGTTCGTCGTCATCACCCCGTGCGCGCTTGGGCACCTGCAGCGACGAATGGTGCTGTTTCTTGTCGGCAAGCGGCTGCACGCTCTCGGCAAACTCGCGGTGCTCTGGGTAGTCGCGTCGAATGACCTCCAGGTCGAGCGGCGATGGGCGCAACTGTTTGGGCCTACGCATCCCTTCGTTCGGGCACGCACGCTTCAGGAAGGCAGCAGAGAGCCATAACCGGTCACAAAGCTATCGAGCATCAGCATCTGATGCACCTCGAGATAAGGGAGGAGACTTACGCATCCTTGGTGGTTCATGGTTCCACACCGGCAGCAGCGACGAGGGCAGGAGCCGTCGCGGAGCAAATGATAAGAGTTATGACCGAAAATGTTTGCTCCCCCACAATGCAGGCAGGTCGTGTCCTTGCGGCTCATTCCATGGCCGGCCAGTATCTCCAGCTGATCGATGCAGTCGTGAGGCCGAAGGTAGTACTTGACGTCGAGCTTCAGCCTATACCGACCGTTGTCGGCATTAGCATTGGCATTGCCATAGGCAGACCCATTGATGTACCCGTTGGCACTGGAGTTGGCACTGTAGCCACCTCTGCCGCGAGGCGCTCCAGATGGCGCATTGTAGCCCCCTCGTGAGGGTCCTGTTGGCATTCGACGTTGGCCGAAGCCCTGCGAATAGTTGCCGCGTCCTCGCATTTTTTCGAATTTTGGCAGATCTCGAAAAGAAAATTGGTGTGGCGTGGACGCGAGTGGAGGAGGCAAGAGCTGTGGACTTTCACTTTTAACACCAGTTAACTTGAATGCGACTGATAGCATGATACCCATATTTTCCTTATGGTGTGCGTTATCGCCGTCCCATGGTACTGCGACGATCCAGAGGCGACCCAGAGACGACGAGCCAACTATACCAGCCGAATTTCAGACGACTCATACGCGAGAAGATACTCTACGAAAGAGAGGTATCGAATCTCCAAGAACCTCCCTATGCTCTGTGGACTACAGGATCGGAGAATTGAGGGCCGTTGTTCGTCCCGCAGTCTTCTCCATGGAAGCATTCTTAAGATGTTATCCAGCTCACGAGTATGGGGTCAGACTTGGGGAAATGCTGTTGACAATGCTGGCCGATCGCTGTTCGGCGACAGGCAAACGGTTTAGCTTCAGAGGCTCACTCTTAATGTTCTCACGGATGAGAATTGCGTTCCATGGCGCTCAACAGGACCTCGGGACGAACCAGCGACACTAGTCCAGGATTGGCGAATGATCGCATCGAGCCTGACTGAGGAGCATACAGCGAAGGGCAGAAGACGAGGTACGAGCAGCCAAATGCATGCTGCGGACGGGAGAGATGGATGACGCGGGAGAGATGAATCATCCGTCGTTCAAGGAGATTGAGACGTTTTTGGAAGATGCTGCAAGTCTCGTGGAAGAGCATGTACCACTTGCTTTGGATGGCGATGTGCAGGTAGCTTAGACTTTCCAGGTAAAATGAGGTAAGTAAATTAAAAAAACGAGACATCTAAACATGAGAGTACAAAGCCAACGTGCCCTCGTCTACACGGGGCTACAGTGCATGACGGCGTGAATTTCGGGTGTCGCCGCAGCCATGGACATTATGAAGAGAAGCGCGTCTTCGCAACAGCATTACCCCTCCTCTACGGCCCACGATGAGCCCCTCCGTCGAGCTCGTAGGTGTACTGCACAGGCATCTCCTGAGGTGGCTCGGCGGCAGCATGTTGATATTTGTAGGGCCCAGGAATGACAGGCTCAGAAGCCAACTCGGCCTTTGGGTACGCGTCTTGATACATCACTGCCGGGGCGTAGGGTTGCTGCATTTTCTTCTTCTGTCGACGCTTGTAAAGGAACCATAGGCCTACGCCGACTACGAGTGCCAGTGTAGGCCCAACGGCGATACCCGCGATAGCTCCGCCTGACAAGGAGGAGGACGAAGAAGACGAAGACGAATCGCTAGACGGAGGTGGCGGTATGGCGCTCGATGCTGCATTGGATAGGACGTCTGATGCTGTGGCAGGAACGGAGGAGGACGCTGATGATACGGAGTTTGATGCAGACGAGGTAATTTCGGACGTCGGCGAAGCGGAGCTGGGTTCTATACTCGAACTACTTGTCGGAGCAGCGCTGGCGCTGGCTAGTGACACGAGGTCAGCCGAGAGAATCTGGCAACGTACAAACTTCTCGGTGAATTTGTAGCCCGACGCGCATGTAGTCTGGCCTGGACAGCATGCTTGGTCTACGCCAGCCTCAAGGTTAGCGCATGGCACCGAGTCGGCTTCTTCGCAGACAGATGGCTGGTCGACGTAACAGCCAGGCTCGCTGTTGGGATTGTCGATGCAGCACCATCCCTTATTGAGGAGGTTTTGGCACTGGGGGTAGCTTTCTCCCTTCCGAATACAGCAAAGCGTATTGCTGGGGTTGCAGGTATTCGTTACTGCGCCTTCGCCTGGAAACGCATCTTCGCATACGTCGCGCTTGAAAACTTCGAGTCCTTGCTTGAGGGCGCGCTTGATGTTCAGCGCAGCTTCCTGTGGTGTGGGAGACGTTCTTGGTCGATGGCCGAGTGCTCGTGTCGGGGATTTATCGAGTGTATGCGCAAAAGTGACCGTAGTAAGGCAGAAAAGGAAGAAGACCCATCGCGAGACCGTGATGAACGAGCCAGCCATCGGTCAAGCGGATTTGGTGTTAAAGGCCGAAGGTAACAATGTGGTACGCGTCTAGAGAATGATTTGGTAGAGACGTACAACCACGCGAGCGAGGCCCAGATCTGATCTTATGAGAATAGTGTGCTGAAAGGCCGTGCACCGCCATTGTTCTGCGGTCGATATTGAGACCAATTGCAGTGGCTATCGCCCAGCTTAGGGTGGGGGCCTTACAGCGAGCATGTGGATTACTGGCTGAGCGGCCTGAGGTTCGGCCTAAGGCTGTCAGGCAGCCTGGCGCTTAGCCTCATGCTCGTGGTTTCCTCCAATCCTTCTCTGATGATATGCAATTACACATGCTGCAGGAATCAATGGGTTAGTCAGGGACTTTCCAATACCTATGCTTCGCCATCATCGTTGCGCTCAGAAGAGAGGGAGAGGGTGGTCTGTCTCGTAGGTGTGTTATCGTGCCAAGAGCACGTTGGCCCCACGGCAAGGCCTCCAGTAATAGGAGTAAGTCTCGTTGTGGCTGCAGCTGAAACAAGATAGTGACGATGTCCCGGACTATGGGTGGCTTATGGCGTCGATTTGCCACATTTTGAATTTGAGCGGAGGCGCCACGAAACACGTCGCTCAGTCTGGCGACTCGAGGTTGATGAACATCAGAGCCGGTTGTGAAGCTCCGGTGTGACTTGTTATTATCATTGTTGGAATCTGTCGAAGTAGCGCTCTCGCGGCTACATCCGTCGTTTTGTGTGCGTGAAGATGTGTCGCAGCGTGTTGTTGTCGTCTGGTCGATCCTTCATCACGCTAATGCACGTCGAGCCGAGATCGGGGCCAGAGGCTAACCATCCTTGGAATGGCCGCGATCTGACTTTTGGGGGCCAGAACTGAACCCTTTCAGCTGCTGCTGACACGTCCGCGATATTGACTGTGGTAATGATTCCGCGCATATCACTCACACATGCCCTGAGCCTTGAGCAGACTCTACGCCATCACGTGTCCAATGTGAGCCCTGGCTCCAGTGCATCGCAACCATGGTTCTTAGTAAAATCTCATCTCAACAACCAAAGTACACCACAGTCATGTGCTGCTGCTGATGCCTCGAGGGATGAAATAAGATTTCGCACTTGTGCGTCGTTCCTTCTTCATCCATCTTCAACTCCATCATGAGGCTCTACGCCAACGTCATGCCCGCGTTCCGCCGACCGATCCGAACTCCTTTCATCGCTACGTGTCTCGTACTCCTATCCGTTCTGACTTTCTGGAAACTGAGCTCCAATGTTCCCAATGAACCTTATGGCGGAATCGCTCTTAACGAAGGCCAGTTTGACAAGGCCCTAGTCATCGCTTCCATGAAGCATGAGAATACGTCTTGGTTCTACGATGAGCTTCCAGAGTGGCGCAAATATGTCTATGTGGTGAACGATCCAACCGCCGAGCTCACGGTGCCGTTGAACAAGGGTCGTGAATCGATGGTGTATCTTTCGTATGAATACAACCCTACGCGATTATGTCGTTTGCTATGCAAGGACTGACTCTGAAATAGCTTCATCATCGACAACTACCACAAATTGCCAGGAAACATTCTCTTTCTCCACGCGGAGAGATATCAATGGCACAACGACGATCCCGACTATGACGGTCTGTCGATCCTGCGGAAGTTTCGCTTTTCCTACCTACAGGAAAAAGGGTATCTCAACCTGCGCTGTGTATGGGTTCTGGGTTGCCCAAACGAGATTCGCCCGTTCGAAGATGCAAAAGACCCGGCCCGGCCTGCGCCTCACGCAGGGCAATTCTACAAGCAAGCTTTCGAAGAGCTGTTCCCGGGTCGCGACGTTCCAAGGGCAATTGGTGTTTCTTGCTGCGCGCAATTCGCTGCTACGAAGGAAAAGATACAGGAACAACCGATTGAATACTATAAGCGCATTCGAGATATGTTGCTGAAGACAACATTGGAAGACTCAATCAGTGGAAGGATTATGGAGTATTCATGGCATAGTAAGATACCCCACCCTGGTCATGGAGTTCCCAGTGTACTAATTCTTGTAGTAATATTTGGGCAAGACCCTATTCACTGCCCCAATGCGAGTGTGTGCTATTGCAAAATGCTTGGGTTGTGCAACCTGAAGTGCACTAGTGACGCTTGCGATGGTCGGTACAAACTGCCTCCGTTCGCAACTCTCCCTATAGGATGGCCGATCATTGGTTGGCATGGCGAGCAGCGAAAGCTCGGAGTTCCGGGTTGAGGAAGACATGTCGTTGAGTGCTCTGTGAGAGTAACCATGGCAGTCAATGTAGGTGCCAACTTGATGTATGGTAATACTCCCGACCGCTGAACGCTTGCTGTAATCAGCAAAACACTAGGCGAGGCGAGGCGACTGTGTAGAAACGGGAGCGGACTAGTAGGTCTGAACATGCGAATTAGCTCTCGTCAAAGAGAAGGACCGCGTCAGCCAATTACAATGGCCTTAGACAGTCTGACTTCACGTGTATCGCGACGATCTGCATGCGTTGAAAAGCCTCGTATTATAAGTATCAAATCATGCTTGGTCGAGCGACTGCGCCAAGCACGTAGCGAAATACCTTCCTCTTAATCTTTGCAGTTCCTCATGAGTACCCATTTCGGCGATAATACCATCTTCCATGACGAAGATAACATCTGCATGTCGAATGGTACTCCTGTATAATTGTCAGCAAATGTAATCTGGCACTCGAGGCGGAAGGTACTCACAGCCTATGCGCAACGGCAATCGTCGTTCTTGACATCGCAGCCTCATCCAGCGCCTTCTGCACGATCCTTTCACTTTGAGTGTCCAACGCCGAAGTCGCTTCATCCAGCAACAGCAATCGTGGCTGGCGAATGAGTGCTCTGGCAATGGCAATACGCTGTCTTTGACCACCTGAGAACTGCAAGCCCTTGGATCCACAAGGGGTTTCAAGACCCTCCGGTAAGGAAGCGACGAACTCTAGGACATTAGCTTGGCGACAAGCTTCCTGAATTTCTGCGTCGGAAGGCTTGTGCTCAAGACCAAGGGCGATATTTTCTCGTACGGAGCCAAGGTAGAGTGGTGGCTCTTGTTGCACGAGCGACATGTAACGGCGGTAGAGCTGAGGGGACATGAGCGAAATATCCTGATCGTCTAATGTGATGCGTCCGGATATCGGGTCGTAGAAGCGTAGCAACAGAGATACGACTGTACTCTTGCCACAACCGGAAGGGCCAACAAAAGCAGCAAATTTGCCGGGCTCGATCTTCATGGAGATACCCCTCAACACCCGGAATGCGTTGCGCTGCTTGTACCTGAACTCGACGTCTTCCATGGCGATAGTGCCATCGGATGGCGGCCCCTTGCCGTTGGTTTCATCGGATTCGCAGATGGTCGGTTTGACTGTTCGCAGCCACAAGATGTAGTTTGCGGCCCCTTCCGCCTTTGTGATCGAGGTGCTGTACATGAAGAATTGCGCGACACCCTGCCCACCAAAGACAATGGCGATGAAGATTACAAAGAACTGCGACGTAGTGTACTCGCCTTTCGCAATTAGCCGCGATCCGTACCAGAAGCCTAGAGCCATGACTAAGAAGTCAGCGGATTGCGAAAGCGCGTATGGGATCAGCGCAAAGGTTAGATTCTTAACGACTTTGCCCGTGATAGCCCGGAGTGTGTCGCTGTATTGCCGCATGATCGAGGTTTCGAGAGTGAGCATGCTGACCGTCCGTATGGAGGTGACGGCTTCCGTAGCCAAACCCGCGCTGCCAGAGAACTGTTCCTCTGTGGCACTCTCGAGTTTCTGGTCCAGTCGAATACGATAGTAGCCGGCAGCGACGATGATGGTCAGCCCGCCGAACACCAGCGTCAATCCAAGCCTCCAGCCATACGCTATGCCAAGCGCACTACTCGCCGTGATATTGACCAAGATGTTGAACATAAGACCCAAGTTCGCAGACATCAACTCTTGCAATGCTGTCGGCGCCGATGACAGCTTTGAGGTCAACGCGCCAGACGAGTTCTCCGGGCGGTCGAAGAACTCCTGGTCAAAGCTGATAATACGTTCGATCATCTCTCTTCGGTAACGATGAGTCATTGCCTGCCCAATGTTGTTGCATGCAAGGCCGATCATAAAGTATGCGAAGAGGTTGGCGAGAGCCAGCACGAAGAACATGAGTGCCCAGAAGTTTGCTTCATCTTGTGCCTCAGACCCTTGCAGTGTGAACACCCGAACAAGACGAGAGAAGATGATAGCCTGGGCTGGGTAGGTACCACCGCCGATGATGCCACCAATGATGGTGGCGGTATACCAGACCCAAAGATCAAGGTTCTCCTTTAGCATGATCCAGATGCATTTGATGAGAGAGTAACCCAAGGTTCCAGCAGCAAGCTGCTCGATTTCGCGCTCGAGATCCGTGTTGCTGTACTGCGATTGCATTCGTCGCATTGGGGCTTTGCTGTCCAGGGCGTCTTCAACATCTGCTGTTTCCAGCAGCTCTTTCTCAATGTCCTCGTCGTTGGCCTTTGTACCAAGATCTTGTGCGCGCACCATGGCTGCATACAGACCATCACTCTCGAGGAGTTCATGATGTGTACCCTGCTCATAGATCTGACCTTCTTTCATGACGATGATGTTGTCGGCCGCCATCACAGTGGCAAGCTTATGGGCAATGATCAGCGTCGTCTTGTTGATCGAAACGCGGTTGAGTGCGCTCTGCACGACCTTCTCGGCGCGAGGGTCCAAAGCGCTAGTCGCTTCGTCAAACAACAAGATCTTGGGGTTCGAGATGATGCTTCGAGCGATGGCAATGCGCTGTCGTTGACCACCGCTCAACATACTTGCGCGCTCTCCAACTTGGGTATGGTAGCCTTCCGGTAGCGCCTCGATAAAGTCATGCGCGTTGCTGTTCTTACACGCTTCTTGCACGAGTTGCATTTGCGCTTCCGCCGGTAACTCCCTTTGGTCTCCTACAAGGCCCTTGATGATATTCTCGAAGATTGTGCCTTGGAAAAGGGTAGGTTCCTGCTGAATGAGGCGAATGTTGGACCGCAACCATTTCGTGTTGTATTCGGAGATGTCTCGACCATCAAGCAGTATCTGACCAGTAGCAGGTTGGTACCATCGCTCAAGCAGACCGACCAAGGTCGATTTACCACATCCACTGGGCCCGACTAGAGCCGTCGTCTTTCCCGCTGGTATCGACAAACTCAGCCCTCGTAGGACCTGTGCGCTGGGTCGTGCAGGATAGGCGAACCGTAGATCGTTGATGATAATTTCTCCGTCGCAGTCGGATGGCTGCATGCCTTCTGCCGAGAGTGGGTCGAGGGCTGATGGCCTGTCAATGATGGAGAACAACTCGCCTGCCGCCGAGGAGGCATTAGTGAAAGCCTGTATCTGCGGAAAGATGAGCAGTGTTGCAGTGGCACCGAGCACGACACTCAGGACGACGGTGAAGACTGTGCCCACATCACCAATCTCCCCGCTCTGGAACATGCGAAAACCTTGCCAGAAGGCTAGCGAAGTACCTGACATAACCAGGAATGTTTGGCCGGAGAAGAGCACGCCATAAATGACGGACTTCTTGTTGCCCTCCTTGTGCGCCTTCTGGAGGTAAGTCTCGTATCCGTCAACGATCTTCTGGTGAGCCCCGAAGGCGTGAATAGTTCTGATTGAGCTGATCGCATCTTGCGCCAGAGTACCAGCTTGCGAGTAGATTTTGGTCTGTGTGCACGTTGTTAGTCCACGGCTTCAAGACATGTTGTCACTGGTACTGACCACTCTAGCTTCGATGGGCGCATCCATGCCTATGCACACGCCCGTAATTAGGAAGATGGCAGGTATTATGCTCATCACGATAAGAGCAAGCTTCCATTGGACAGCGATTGCCACGATGAAGCCGGAGAAGAAGAGTGAGATGCCTTGGACGCATGTGAATAGCTTTTCCGCAGTGCCTTGATTGATCCTGTTGCCATCTAGGCCACGATGTCAGTAGTGTGTACCTAAACATTTGAAGTAGGCTGCTCACTGGTAGTAACCTGAGTCGCGGCAGATCCACTGCCATCTTTGTCGAAATGAGCCACATCCTGACGGAGCAACTTGTCCAGAAAGTCCTCTCGCAACGCGCATGTTGTCCTGGCTGCCGCGATACAGATGCACAGAGTACCCAAATACCCAATAACGAAGCGAGCGACAAAGAGGTAAACAAAATAGAGTACCAAGTTGTCGATGTTGCTGGTAAAGTTCGAGCTATCTTGGCCGGTCGCTTGTTGGTTGAATTCGGCTGTGGACTGTCCAAAGACAAGAGTCATCAAGGGGAGCGCAGCGCCAACGACGGCGGCACCTGTGATTCCAAGAGCAAACAGTATGCGATCAGCCGTGCTGGCATATGTAAAGATACGCTGTGAGAAAAGACATCAGTCTGCGGTCGTTACTCTCATGCGCATCTGTGACTTACAAAGTAGTCTTTCAGACTTCCCTCTTTCTCTTCTTTCTTCGCTTCTTCGTTGGAAGCCTTGCTCGATTTCCCATCATCAACATCAACTTGCTTTTCTGGGTCGGCGTTGCCAGAAACGTCGATCGCGACAGCGGGTCTGTCTGCTGTCTCCTGCATCGTGTTGGAGCTGTGAGTAGTCACCGACGGCGCGTCACGGGTGTCCATCATCATTCACAATGCGCAAGCAACATACGCGCATTAATGCAGCAGGCAGGACGTGTTGTTTGTCGCATGAGATAAGCAGGCCTAGAGCGTGTCTATAGCGTCGCGTTCACGGGCGTCTCGCGCTCCGGACGTCAAGGCCTCCGGCGTTGCCAAGGCGGCGCCCATCAGCCGCAGAAACAAGACGTCATGACATTCAGGCATCATCAAAACCGATCGATATGAGCCGCGAGTAACAATCCACGCGTGGGATATCTGTTCATGGCCGTTGGGGAGGGCCTGCCCTGCTGGTGTAACGTCTTCATCACTAGCGAGGAGAGATTACTGGAGTCGCGACTGCCAAAAGGGATGTACTAGGCTGCATTTGGATTAGCGTCACTTGGGCCTGGTCGGGATC